CTTACCCATTGGCACAGTCCATGCTGTAAAAGAACTCATTTAAAAGATTTTCCCAGTATTCATTTCACCATGCTCATCTTCCCAACTACTCAGAGGCTGCCACAGCCATAGTCCACAAGGGACCAGCTATTTCTTGATATGATTGCAGACCTTGTGCCATTCATATGGCACTGGTTTTGGAGGAATGTAGAACAGAGGAGTTGTAAGATCATGGAGGCTCCACCCAGATTTCAAAGGAAACCCAGAAGACTAGGTGTGGTGTGGCCAGGTCAGTCCCTGAGAGGGCAATGTGTGAAACTGAGGAGGAAACTGAAGATACAGTAGAGACCATGGGAGCTGAAGATGCCAGAGACATGGAACAGCTGCCGAGGAAAACCATGGGCAATGAGCAGAGCCAACCCAGGAAAGAGGCCATGTGCACTACAGCCAGCAAGGCCAGAGTGGTGGGGTACAGGCCATGAAACTCACACCATGTCACCATGTGCCCTGGATGCAAAACATGGGTCTACAGGATTTGATGTTGGCCCTGTTGGGTCTTTGGCCTCACACCTCCTTTCCAATCTCCTGTTTATCCCAAAAGAATGAATGTGTTTACTGTGTGATGTGATTGATTGGTTGATTGATTGACTGATCGATCGATTGATTTTATAAGTCTTCCTTGACTCTCAGCTTCAGTTTGAACTTTCTTTTTAAGGGCATGCCTGAGAACAGAATTGAATTTTTTTAATTTGTTTACTTATTTTTATTGCACATACAGTGTTCTGTCTGCATGTATGCCTGCACACCAGAAGAGGGCGCCAGATCTCATTACAGATGGTTGTGAACCACCATGTGGTTGCTGGGAATTGAACTCAGGACCTTTGGAAGAGCAGTCCAGTGCTCTTAACCTCTGAGCCATCTCTCCAGCCCCTGAGCCATGTCTCCAGCCCCCTAGTTTGAACTTTTGATCAATGTTGAAATTGTTGAGGTTTTTGGAGAAAGCCTCAGTGCGGTGCTGGGTATGCACAGGGCAACTGCGTTGAGTCAAATGACCGTCTTGCAACTGTCTTCATTTGGAGATTAAGTGTGGTGTAAGGAAGTGTGTGTTAGGGTGTCACACTGACACGGAGTGGGATTGCTCCGTGTTAATCTTGATTGTTGATTGTCAACTTGATTGAATTGAGAGATACCTAGGAAATTAGTAAGGAACACCCTGGGTGTCTGTGACCATTTCCAGAAATGATTAGATGGTGGAGCCCCTGACTTAACCACTGATTTAATCCACCGAGGGTCTACTTTCAGTCTGCTTTTAGGGAGTGGAACTGTGGGCCTAATTGGAGGAAGTGGGTCTCAGAAGGGTATATCTTGGTGTGGGCTCCTTACTGTGCGTCTCTTTGCTTGCTGGCTGCTGGGATGATCAAGCTGCCTTCTACCACATTCCTCCTCCATGATGCTCCAACCTTGCTGCAGGCCTGAAAGGGAGGAATAGTTCAACCACCCACTGAAGCCTTTGAAACCACAAGCCAAAGGGAATCTTACCTCCTTAAAGTTGTGTGTCTCAGGTACCTTTTTTTGCTAAGTGGAATCAAATCTACACCTCTCAAACCCAGAGTGGGCCCTCACCCTGGCTTGCCTGCAGCAGGCACTCCTGGGGCCAGAGCTCCCTGCTTCAATTCTCCCTACCAAGGTCAAGGATGGGTAGCTGAAGGGCACAGGGCAAGAACTCAGAAGACCATCATCTAATCCTCAGCCACCGATGATTTCAGACCCACAGCATCACCGTCACTGATAAAGCCTACAGTGTTTGATCCAGTTGCTGTCATTTCCCTGGAGTTCTGGGAAGTGAGTTGCTTTCCATCATTTTCATCTGTAATGCCCAGCAGGCTCTGAGGCCTCTGCACTTCACCGTTCTCATTCTCTGTAGCTCGCCCACCAGGGTTTGGGGTGACAGGTGCCTTCCAGTTTCTCTGAAAACAGATGTTTTTGTTTCTGTTTCTTCTGCCCCTGTTTCATAGCTGCCTTTCCCCGGGGCCAGGGAATATGGACTTAAGGGTGTATGTACTGACCCAGGGTGTACTGACCCTCAGACAGAAGACTCTGAGGTCTGGATCAAACCGTAAGGGCAGGGGTATTCATGTGCCTGTCTCTCCCTGACCTCCCAGCCCCTCGTGCTTAAGGGCTGGGCCTCATCTCTCTCTGCATGTCCGGGGTTAGCATAGCCAGGAGGGGGACAAAGGAAGTGAATAGAAACCAGGATTACTTTATGCCTAGTGACCCCTTTGCCTTCCTTGGGGTCTTTTCAGAACATCTCCCAGCTCTGCCTCTCCCTCCACAGAGTCCATTATGCCCTTCCTGACACCCCATGAAGCTTATGTAGAGTCAGATGGGGGTGGGGAGGCAGAGATGAAAAGGGTAGTTAGCCAGGGCTCTCCAGACCCAGTTGCACACAGGCAAACATGTTACTCTCCCTCACGGTTTCGGGGTGACAGGACTCACCCAGGCAGCTCTTCTCTTTCACATGCTAGTCGATGAGACAATCGGCTCAGCTGGCATGGCACATATGCATGGCTACCCCGTTGTGGGCAGTGGGAAGCCGCTTCAGCAGGTTATGAACATGGCTGGTCCTCTCTATCTCATTTAAGTATCATCTTTTATCCATTCCCTCATATGCATAAATCACGTCACGCTTTGTGTCTAGGTGCCCAGACTCTCCTTGTGTGTGGTTGGACAAAATGCTGTGACCTCGGAGCCCCACAGGCTGAGAAAACAAGTATATTTATTTTAGAATTTTTAATGGTGGCCAGGTGGTGGTGGCACACACCTTTAATCCCAGCACTCAGGAGGCAGAGGTAGGCAGATCTCTGTGAGTGCAAGGCTGGTTTGGTCTACAGAGTGAGTTCTAGGACAGCCAGGCAGCCAGGGCTACACAGTGAAACCCTGACCCGAAAAAAAAATTTTTAATGGTGTGTGTGTGTGTGTGTGTGTGTGTGCCACAGAAGCCAAAAGAGGACATCAGATCCCCCTGGAGCTAGAGTTAGGAACAAAACTTGGGTCCTCTGAAAGAGCAGCAAGCACTGTTAATTGCTGAGCCATCCATCTCTCCAGCCACTGAAAACAAGTATTTGTCTCACACTAAGTACACTGCTGTCCTGCCCCACACTGGCATTCTGTAGGAAGGAGAGTAGCATGGTGGGAGGGAGGGGTGGAGGGTCAGGCTGCTTTTTCCATCTAAGCTGACTGCTAGGCTTTCCGGGGCCTGTTTCTTCCTTTGTAATGGCTCGCAGCACCCGAAATGCATGATGGGGGACAGATTATCTTCCTTTGTAATGGCTCGCAGCACCCGAAATGCATGATGGGGGACAGAGAGTGTATGTGCCTGGGAGGGCAGTTGTGTCTCTTACTCTTAGTGTAAAAGCCGGGGCAGCTGGGGGGGCTGAACACCCACAGCAGGGTACCACCCCAGCACACAGGGGTGTTTAAGGGCCCAGGATGGTGGGCAGATGAGCAACAGAGGAGAAGAAAGGTCATGGCAGTGTTTCTGGTGGGCAGATTTTTTAGGTTCTTGGTCTTGTATGCAAGGAACTGAAATAAAGGCGTACAGAGATTGCAGAAGGAACAGGGACTTTATTCGGAGCAAAGTGAAAGCAGAGATCAGAAAGAAATATGCTGTCAAGGCTGAGGGAGGCGGGCTGTATGAGTGACAGTGCACTCCAAGGCTCCAGATTAGAGCCCTGTATGCTTTTATACGGTCTACGGGGAGGAGGGGTTTGACCACTTAGGGCCATAGTTTGAACAGGTCTGTATTTTGATGATTTGAATAATATGTCTTTGCTAGTATATACACAGAAAGGAGCAGGGAGCTAAAAGAGGCAACCCCAGACTCTGGCTGACTACAGGGCACACCCAGGCCTTTAACGTGCCAGCCTGACTGGGGTACAGGGCCTCCCAACCATGTTGGAGTTCCCAGCAAGTGTGCATTTCTGTGTCAGAGAAATAACTTGAAAGATTGATCTCACACGAGCCAAGCTAGGAACAGTGACTTCCCCTGCTATTCCCAGCCCCTCCAGAGGTGGAGTCCCTTAAAGGGGAAAGGTTGCTGTGGAGCTGTGGGTGAGGGCTGGAACACGAGGAGACAGAAAATGGAGAGGCTGAGCACCCCTTGGCTGCAGCCATCTCCTCTCAGCCACCTAGAGTCTCAGGCCCTGAGGGTGGGAACTTGTATATCACAAAACCCCCGAGACTATGGCAGCACCTGACGCACACACACAGGTCAACACAAGTGTGCTGGGAGAAGGGCTGGGAATCTCAGGCAGTGTCATGCTCAAGGTAAGATTGTCTCAGGGCCAGGTCCTGGGGTGCCTGATGATATGGGCGCCTCATCAACTTCCACAGCAGCCTAAACTCTCTAGTAAGAATTTCACTGTTATCCAGGCATGGAGAGGTACACTTGTAATCCCAGCACTTAGGAAGCTGAGGCAGGAGGATAGCCAGTCTGAGGTCAGCCCAGGTTGTATAATGAAACCTTACCTCAAAAACAACAGAAAAAAAATCTGATTTTCTTAGTGCCAGCTGGGGCAGGCACTGTCGCTGGCAATGGTGGGATGGATGTTTACCATAGAGATCTCTGGCTTCTGGACACCCATCTAGTTCTAGAAAGGTCATCTTCCTTGAGAACCCATCCTCCCCACACCCACCCTGTACCCCAACTTCCTGGGGTTACCTCTACTCCTGGTTCTATCATAGCACATGGCCAACCGCAGCACAGTGTCTCTCTGACACAGACAGCTGGTTGAAGGTGGACCTAAGACAGGCTGGTCCAATCAGAGCAACCCTTCCTTAGAACTTTGCTTGGGGCAGATCCTATGCCTGAACTTGAACCTCAGGGATCAAGTCCCAAGAGTCAACTGCTTGAAAATGAGCCTGCCAGCAGCAAATAGGTCCAGAATGGGCAGGAAGGCAGACTCCATGGCATCATTTGACCCCTCCGCCATGCCTTGATCAAACTATACCTGAAGTCATAATGGTTCCAACTTGAATCATACATTTATTTTCTGCATAAGCAAGAGAGCTGTGTTTTCTGTCTGCAGTGGTTCTGGTCCTGGCTGGCAGGGTGAGGTGGACAGTCAAGATAATACAGCTCAGGACCCTTTGAATAAAGTAGGAAGTCTTGAAAGATGGTAGGGGTGGGCTGAGCCCCTCCTTTGGCTGGGAAGTCAAGAAATTTACAGAAATGGATTTGTTCTGTGTTTTTCTGAAAAATGAGACCAGAGAAGCAGACTCACACGTCTCTCCCTTTGGTTTGGGGAGGGAGATGACTCCAACAAGGTGAACCGGGGTATAGGAGCAAGACAGCCTGTCCTTTCAGACACATAGCGGTGGCAGGCCATGGAAACCGGAAACTTCAAGAGGGAGTCGGGAAGGCCTGGCGAAGGTGGGTGTATGACACTGTATGACATGAGGATGGTTGGCTGAGTCCTGGGGCTCCCCTCTGGTCCCTAAGAGCACAAAAGTATCCCAGATAGGATGTGGCCTGTCAACAACCTCCCATCCCCAGGGGACCTCCACTGAGGACATAGGCAAGTTCTGCAGCTGTCTGGGAAAAACACCACAAGGAGGGGATGACATGTTCTGTCAGCGCATCATTGGGCTTTGGTAGGGATCCTGAAGGGTCAGGGTGGGAGGACTGGGGTGAGACCTGAAAGGAACACAGGAAAAGATCAGTGTCAGGCACAGACTGAAGCCCCAGCCCAGGGCCATCCAGGCCCTTGGCGGCTTCCCACCTCTGCCTTCCCCAGCGCTGCCCTCTGTTCCTCCCCCACACAACCTGCTGTGGGTACTGTTGGGGTTCTCTGGTTCCATTAGGCTTTTGTGGCAAGGATGGGCTGAGTGAGAGCCCAGAAGCCCCTATGTCCCGGCTCGGGTCACAGGGCAGGTTCTGGCTTCCCAGGGCTGGATCTATCAGGGAAGAAGCTTCGTAGGCAATGATGCACAGGGCAGGTTCTGGCTTCCCAGGGCTGGATCTATCAGGGAAGAAGCTCCGGAGGCAATAATAAGAAGAGGGAAACTGAGGCTACTTTGATACCCATGGCCCTCTGTCCTAATCTAATGTTCCCCTCAGTGACCTGAGGCCCAGGCCCAGGGGCAAGGTGCCCTTCCAGCAGTGGAGGAGAGGTGTGTACCCCTAGAGCAGGCTGCAAGGACGCTTCTGCTGTCGTGTGGGCTGTGGGCACAGGACAGCCCGGATGGCCTCATCAAAGACTGTCTTCAGGCCTCGCTGGGTGAGTGCAGAACATTCCAGGTACTTCACTGAATCTGGGGAGGGACAGCAGAAGAGCAGGGCCTGAGTCATGGAGAAGATGTGTCATCCCAAGTGGAGAGTTGCATCTCTGTGCCTCGTCTTCCTCCTGCTGGCTCAGTGACCCCAAGGCAGGCCAGGCGGTGGACAGGTTATAATCCTTCCCGTGAAAGGACAGGACCTGCTTCTATGACCAAATCTCCCAACATTCCTCATGGAGCTGACACCTCTGGGCAGGTCTGAGGGCACCCCAGTACTTCTATCACCCCAACTTATGAGGAAACCAAGACTAACAGAGGCTGTGGGACCTGTCTACCCCAGAAAGAAAATAGAGAGCCCATCTGAGCCCTCCGAGGACAGATGCCCCTGGGAGGAGTCTGCACGA